GTTATAACTAAAATAACAGGCTTACATGTTTTCAGTCAAGGCACGTGTACATTTGAAACATAACTAATCATTATAACAAAAACTATACACTATATGATTTTAGTCAAGAACTACTACTAATATTAAAATTACTGCAGTATTGAGAATGACCAAAACTAAAATGTCGAAGGTTTTACAGTGTAGTTCAAAACTAATACTACATGTAGAACAAAATTATGTTAAAAGAACTCAAACTAGAAATAAATTCACTGTATTTCTAGTGGAAAGAAGCACTATGCTGCAGTGGACTCGCCCCCTGGAATTCACCTGAGTGATATGTGTTAATTGTTAAGCAATTTGAAAAATATTACTACTACTGACTGCATAGTTATAATGATAATTAAAACAAGCTATGGGTGTGGTCAACAACTAGCTCATGCTCAGCTCATGGCACATGGGTAGGAGAAAGAAGAAAAGCTGAAATTTATTTTAGCATCCGAAGCTCTATTCAAAGAAAGAGTTGGTACAAAAAATTTTCCTAGATATTTAAAAGAGACTAAGAGGGTTTGGTTGCTCCTGCTTTCCCTAGTGCCGCCTGAAAAATTTACAAAGAGGCTAAATCACAAACTTTGAGCAACTGTAACTCACAAACAAAGAAGTTAGGGCAAAATTGTTCTTTTAGTTTCTTGCTAGATGGAATTTTCTACCTCTGAACCAAATCTTGGCCCTGTAGAGTGAAACATGAGCTCTCACTTGGAGAGAGGTCCCCTGGTTTAGCAGTTCACAGCTTTAGGTGCCACGGGATGCTACAAGAGCATAACTAAAGTCTATTCACTTTCACCTGACCCCTGGCTTTTTTCAATTAATAAATAACTACGTCACATCCGCATTCTTTACGTATTTGTGGTTTTGGAATTGTTTTTGTTGCGCGGAAGGGATGCAGATAAGTAGCAGCTGAATTTAATCTGGCTGTTCTAGCTGCATAATTGTGGTCAAAGGTATGTCATTGAGTTTATACAGGGACATCCAAAAAAGGCTAAGGCCTTATCATTTTGACCCGATCTTTTTATCTAAAGGACGGGAAGGACCTAGCGATTCTAATGGTGCAAACAAAATTTCTAAATTCCATGTTTATCGAAAGTTATAACAAAAAATCAATAGGTCAGGTGAAAGTGAACAGACTTTAGATGAAAGAAAGCAACTTTATCTGTTGCTAGAAGAAGAAATATAGCTCTAGACTGCTCAGACAAAAAGATACATTTTTTTACAAATCATTTAAACTGTGTGGATAGAATGACGATCCAACTGCTTAGTACCTGCCTAGCGAGTCCAATAACTAGAACTAGTACTAAAACTGTCGTATTCGTTGTCAGAGACTAGAACTAAATTATTTTATTTCTTGTGATCTTGTCACAAAACTAGGACTAAAACTAAAACTAGTGTATTTTGAGTAAAAAAACTAGCATTAGAACAAAACTAAATTCTGTACTAGAACAAAACTAGCCCCTAGGTCTCACATGTACAAGACTACAAGTTAAATTTGATCAAAAGCATATGGCACACCCAAACTACATACAATTACAGATGGGTTATATGTACATGGTATACATGTATTCTATATTTTTGATTTTAATACACGTCATATTCTGTGGATTGCCACTCATGGACCAAATTTAACTGTAACTAACTGACACAAAAATAACGAGTGACACTGTCATTTTGTGGGCAATGGGCATGCAGATAAACTTCAGTAACACAATAGGTTCATCATTACTACTACTTTCATCCTTTCTGTCTTTTGTTTAAGAGAGCAAGACATGCAATACAGTATACCATATCGCTGGCTACAAGAACAAAATTGTGCAAATTTTTATGGATATACATGTATGTTTAAATGCAATGACAAAATTATTAATAATAAGCAAATAGGATTTAAAAGCACACTACATTACCTTAGTAGGAACAGCCTTAAAGGGAGGAGCCACCATCTTTGAGATGTCAATTTCTCCCACTTCTGAAATCCTGCTAGAGATTTCCTCCTTTGGTTTAGTGACCTTCTTGCTACCACTCTTGGTAGACGTAGGCTGAGGTGCTGCCTTCTCTTCCTTCTAAAAAATATAACACTACATTGGTTTTGCCATTTTTCTCTGACAAAATTATATTTCATCCACAATTTACAGAAAGAGTATGGATATCCTACACTCAACACTATAATAGTATTCCTTTGTAGTTTGTACATTCGCTAAAACAACTAAATTCTGCTCTTAGTGGTGCCATATCCTCAAAAGGTAGGATTTATTTTCCACTCCAATTTTCATAATTTGTCAATTTATTCATTTTATAAGTTACAAGTAAATAAAAAGCATGAAAAATGGACAAGCAGTAGGATTAAAAATGGGAAAAAGTAAAGAAACAAGAGAGTACTTGCAAACTGGTGTGAGAAGATATCCTACACCACTGCATGAAACATAAAGCCCTCATTACTGTAACTGTGTAAGCCTCTATGGTGCATGCTCAGTACTTGGGAATAATCATAGTCTTTCGCAGGTTCATGCAGTGGTGTCGAATATCTTCTCACACCAGTTTGCAAGTACTCTCTTGTTTCTTTACTTTTTCCCATTTTTAATCCTACTGCTTTTCCATTTTTAATGTTTTTTATTTACTTTTTTCCATTCTTTTTTCTTAAATTAAGAAATTACATTGTTTTGATTCTGTGGTTAGGTTAATCATATTCATGCTAACCACATGCGCATAAATTAAAATGGCGTCAAACCACAAACCCACGCGGTGTCTACAGCTGGATTTTGACTTCCATTTTGTTCTCTCCTTGCTTCTTTTTGAATCCACCTTTGTGGTCCTTGACCCTAGCACAAAGGAATGATGTAAAAGCCAACTGGAGCGGTTCTCTGGCTTAAAAGATTAGAGGGCCCATAGAAGAAGATGAAAGAAGAACAAGCGTAACAGGGTAAAAAATATTCCTATAATTGATTTCACCACCTTACAAGTACAACCTGGTCATTAATAAGACTTATAGAGGTTCTCTCTACCTTCTAATGCTTCTAGAGAAGTCTTTAGACAGTATCTCTATGCTCTCTTGCTGTTAGAAAGCTTAACTTTGTCCCATGTGTAAGCCGCCATTTTGTTTGCCATGACCACACCCACTCACGTAAAGGAGCATGGGCGGGTGGTTGCTAAGGCTTGTTATTTCTCCAATACAACGTGTATAGAAGAAATGTAAGTGTGGACATACAAATATATATATATATATATATATATATATATATATATATATACATAGCGCGACGGTGAATTCAATTATAGGAACGACCTGGGGGCGAAGCCCCCAGGTTGTTAAAAAGTCTGAAGAATTTTGCAGAAATTTGAATTTGGGCCTATTCTTCAAAAAAGCTCTCGCTACATTACAGACCACTTTAAAGGTACCAAGAGAATCGCTCAGTGAAGGAGAGCTCATCTAAGCCATTCATAAGGCTGTACAACGTAAGATAAAAGAGTTATAACTTATAAGTGTTTGAAAATCATAAAAAAGGACACCATCTTTAAAAACCAACCTCAATCCTACATATATAATTTATACCATTGTAACTCAAAACTCCATAAAATGAAAAGCAGATCAACTAGAGTATCTGGCACCCCCAAATAAGGGCTCAAAAGGTTTTCGAGTCCCCTAGTTAGCTATAGATGACCCAGAGTGAGAATTGCAAAAGCTATAAATTGAATTAATTTTATATATGGTATTTGCCCACACATCATAATTAGAAATTTTGTTACACAAGTCAATGGAGGTACAAAGAAAATGCCTCCCTTACATGTACCTGCTGTAGCTTCATTAAAAGCTGAAAAGTGCTTGTTATAAAAATAGGCTGCCTTTAACTTGAGCTCAGTCTTGTGTAATAGATTTGGTCTAATGATTTGCTCCAGAATTTGTCATAAAGGATTGTTTTTATGTAGGCCCATTTGTTCCCCATTAAAAGTTGCCAATCAAAATGGCAGCCAGAATTTATTTCATCGTAAACCACGTCCTGCTACCGTAAGTCTTCCCACGCAAGTAATTCTCAATCTGGGTGATCCGAGGGGTGGTCTATTATTTGGTATAGGGTTTAGTTTTTTATTAATCTAGTTGATGGTGAATAGCCATGTCATGAATACCTTACTAGCCTTCTTTTTCTTTTTATCTGTTTTAAGCACTTCTGGTACTACTACTTCACTGTGACCACCGGCATCCTTTATCTTCTTGGATTTCTTCATTTTAACCACATCGTTAAATACCTAGGTGTTTATAGCAAAGAAAAGGGCGAGACTAAATGAGTAGTATACTAAAATCGGGCTAAATTACTTTCTTTCTCTTCTTATCTGAGCCAGTCATTACCCAATATGAGGCCACTTTCAAAATTATCGATCACACGACTTTATCCCTACAAACAATTTACGGATGTAGACAGTAAGGGGTGTTACTAGAATGCGGAATTCTGCGGAATAGTCGCGGAATGTTCCGCAAGGTCGTCCCCAAAAAGCGGACCGGACCGGACCAACCATAGATACTACATACACACATGGATATGAAACAGGATGCGCTCGATCCTTGGCACCGGAAGTGATGTATTGTGACGTTTACACTACACGTGTATAAGCATGGCACAAGCAAAATAGTGAAGAAATCCAGTTGAATTACTTACTAAAGCTCAGGTCTACGACTATATAAGAGTTGCAATCGATATTCTAGTTCTAAAAAGTGAAGATCTACTATTACAAGAAAGAATGCACTGTGCTAAGTACTAAAAAATTATTATTTAAATTATTATCATTATAACTGTTGATGATTATTCTATTCTTCAGTGACCCAATAGATTGATTATTATTATGAGTCCTTCAACAAATTTTAACTATAAAAATAGCAATAAAAACATTGACAACAATTATTATAAGCCGCACTTACTGTATCACCATACAGTACATACTGTAATGTACATCATCTCTATCTTGATAGTTCTCTGTGGTAGCATAAATATAAAGCTTTACCATCATGTAACAATGTCTCATCAATGCCACTGAAATCCTGCTTGTGTTTCTTGGTAAATAACCTATTCTTTCACTACTCAGTTCTCACTAAAAATTAAACCACACCCTTTGAAACACTTGCAAAAAATGTATTATTACTTTTGAAACATAGCATCTAGAAAAATGAAACCATAAACAGTCTATATAAGAGGCCTTAATGAATACACTCAAAGTAGTAACTTGTTCATACCTGGTGCAGAAGTCTCAAAAAGGTGGTTACAAAATTAATATAAAAAAAAAACTAGTTTTTGGCTATTATCTCAGTCATTTCTCATTACATTGACACGAGAATAGTTTCAGTCCATGTAACAAACAATACACTATTATGATTCCAAGACTTACTAGCTAACTCCGTTCGAGAGTCTA